TAAAGTTGGCTGAGCTTATCAGATGTAAAGTTGGCTGAGCTTATCAGATGTAAAGTTGGCTGAGCTTATCAGATGTAAAGTTGGCTGAGCTTATCAGGTGTAAAGTTGGCTGGGCTTATCAGGTGTAAAGTTGGCTGGGCTTATCAGATGTAAAGTTGGCTGGGCTTATCAGATGTAAAGTTGGCTGAGCTTATCAGATGTAAAGTTGGCTGTGCTTATCAGATGTAAAGTTGGTTAAGCTGTAAAGTTGGTTGAGCCTATCAGATGTAAAGTTGGCTGAGCTTATCAGATATAAAGTTGGCTGAGCTTATCAGATGTAAAGTTGGTTGATCTTATCAGATGTAATTTTGGTTGAGCTTATCAGATGTAAAGTTGGCTTGGCTTATCAGATGTAAAGTTGGTTGAGCTTATCAGATGTAAAGTTGGTTGAGCTTATCAGATGTAAAGTTGGCTGAGTTTATAAGATGTAAAGTTGGCTTGGCTTATCAGATGTATAGTTGGCTGAGCTTATCAGATGTAAAGTTGGCTGAGCTTATCAGATGTAAAGTTGGCTGTGCTTATCAGATGTAAAGTTGGTTGAGCTTATCAGATGTAAAGTTGGCGGCTTGGCTTATCAGATGTAAAGTTGGCTTGGCTTATCAGATGTAAAGTTGGTTGAGCTTATCAGATGTAAAGTTGACTTGGCTTATCAGATGTAAAGTTGGTTGAGCTTATCAGATGCAAAGTCGGCTGAGCTTATCAGATGTAAAGTTGGCTGAGCTTATCAGATGTAAAGTTGGCTGTGCTTATCAGATGTAAAGTTGGCTGAGTTTTATCAGATGCAAAGTTGGCTGAGCTTATCAGATGTAAAGTTGGCTGAGTTTTATCAGATGGTAAAGTTGGCTGTGCTTATTAGATCCAAAGTTGGCTGTGCTTATTAGATGCAAAGTTGGCTGAGCTTATCAGATGTAAAGTTGGATGTGCTTATCAGATGCAAAGTTAGCTGGGCATGTTATACTTTGGCTGTTTTGTTGTATTTATATAATATACAAAAATTCTCAAAGTTACCATACATTAGAATCTCTATATGTGATTTGTTTTCTTCCTTAAAAGAGGAACAGTTTTTCCTGATTTATTTTGACTGACAATCCGCTGTGATTAATAGCTAGACTGATGCCAAGTCAAATTAATGATTGGCATAGCGACTTTCTTCTGGAAATATTATTACCAAATAAAGATTTGGTATTCATAAGACAGCATAATTCTTGTGCCAGTTGTTTTTGATGAGCAAGAAAAATGTTAGTTAAATGACAGTAGACCAATGTATCAAGAATATTGAATAAGAACGGTAGAAAATTGTGTCTTCCAGGCCACTGAATATATAACAAGATTTTTTATTATTTCATTACTCGAGAAAAGAACCCATAGCCTAAAATCTTGAGGTAATAGCTCCATATTTTGGATAAAAACATCTTGTAAACAAAATTTGAAGTTTATATGGTTTAAGTCAGTCACTTGGGACAAAGAAATATTTGCCCTTAGTAACTTTTCCTGTGCTTTAATTTTTGTCAAAGCAGTATCTGGGATATCCATTAGTTTCACCGGAACAATAAATTATGTTTAGTGAAGATTTTTAAAGTGATCGTCAATCTTTCAGTAATCCTCATTCTTTCCTCTAAGGATTTAACTTATTTCTAATGGCTTACCTCTTCTTACCTCCCTTGAGAGTCTCAGATGACTGATTAAATTACAGTGCTAAACTTTTCATAACCATTCTTCTGTTGTTTAACATTATCAAATTTCCCTGCATTTTGCCATAAAATTTTGAGAGTTGTTGTTGTGTTCAAGTTGCAAAAGGGCTTGCTTGAAGGAATGAAAGAGTTATTTCTGATAAAAGTGATTAATGCATTGGGAGATTTGTCTGTTATATTGGGAGGCAGATTTGTCTTGTTATTTGGAAAGCATACTTTTTATATGAAAAACAAGTAAATCTAATACAGACTATGAATTTTACATGGCATTTTGGAAAACAAGCAGTCATTTTGTCTGGTAGCTGAAATTTTGAAGTACTGAATGATAAATTCTTTGCTAAAATGTAACCTTGAAATAACAAGAACTATTCTAGAGGCAATAAAGTAAAATTGTTTTAGCATTTTGGAAGGGCAATTCAGCAAATGTTTAAAATATAAAAAGTGTATCTACTCTTATTATGGTTGTAATAAAGGAATTATGCATTATATATAAACAGTAAACATACAGTTAGAACTTCCTTATTCATTTATATAGATATATGATAAGATCATGTTTTTTTATGCCACCGCAGCATCTGCGATGCGGTGGCATATAGCGATTCACCTGTGTGTATGTATGTGTGTGTGTGTGTTTGTTTGTTTGTTTGTGTGTGTGTGTGTTATATAGATTATATAGTGAACTTAAAAAATCTTCTTGTGAAAAACCACTAGTCCAATTTCAACCAAACTTGGCAGGATTGATCCTTGGGTGAAGGGCTTCCAAGGTTGTTCAAAGAATTTCATTCCATGCAGAAATCTGGTTGCCATGGCAACCAAAAGGAATTATAAGAATAAATTAAAAAAATCTTCTTGTAAAGATCCAAAAGGCCTAGAGCTTAGATATTTTGCATAAAGCATTGTCTGGTAGACCTCTACCAAGATTGTTCAAATTATAGCCCTGGGGTCAAAATCGGCCCCGCCCCGGGGGTCATTGATTCTCACTCAATATAAATATAGTAAAAACATAAAATACCTTCCTGTAAAGACCCTAAAGGCCTAGAGCTTAGATATTTTGCATAAGGCATTGTCTGGTATAAATCTACCAAGATTGTTCAAATTATAGCCCTGGGGTCAAAATCGGCCCTGTCCCGGGGGTCATTGATTTTCACTATATGTACATATAGTAAAAACTTAAAATCCTTCTTGTAAAGACCAAAACGGCCTAGAGCTTAGATATTTTGCATAAGGCATTGTCTGGTAGACCTCTACCCAAACTGTTCAAATTATAGCCCTGGGGTCAAAATCGGCCCCGCCCCGGGGGTCATTGGTTTTCCTTATATGTATATAGTAAAAACTTTAAAAAAATTCTTCTAGCAATTCACAAATGCTAGAGGTTAGATATTTTGCATGAAACATTGTGAAGTGAACTTCTAGCAAGATTGTTCAAATTATAGCCCTGGGGTGAAAATTGCTCCCGCCCCGGGGGTCATTAATTTTCAATAATTTTATATACATATAGTAAAAAATCAAAAAAATCTTATTGTCTGAAGGTACAAGGCCTAGAGCTTTAATATTTGTTAAATGATATCATCTATAGGTACTCTACCAAAGTTGTTCAAATTTTGCCTCTAGTGTCAAAATTAGCCCTGCCCCGGGGGCCATAGGTTTTCCTTATATGTATTTTGTAAAAACTTAAAAAAATCATCTTCTCTAAATTTACAAAGGCTAGAGTTAAGATATTTTTCATGAAACATTATGTAGTGAACCTCTAGCAAGATTATAGCCCTGGGGTCAAAATTGGCCCTGCCCAGGGGCAGTGATTCTCATTATGTACACATAGTAAAAACAGAAAATAAAACAAATGTTTTCTGAATGGGAGAAAGCTACAACTTAGATATTTGACTTGAAATGTTGTTTGGTGGACTGTATCAAGATTGTTTTGAATTAAATCCTTGGGTCCAAAATTTTGCCTTGCCCAAGGGGACAATTTTGACCATGTGCACAGTTTTAGTTGTAAAATTGAACTTTGATATCAGGTGACCTAGATTTTGATGATGTGACCTACTTTCTTGTCCTTTGATGTACAGCTATGAAATTTGAACCATGTGCACAGATTAGGATGTAAAGTGAACTTTGATTTCAGCTGACCTAGATTTTTACAAAGTGTCTTACTGTGTTGCATTTGATGTAGTCATGATTTTGTTTGTTTAATTTTACGCCTTTTTCAACAGTATTTCAGTCATATAGGCGGGTAGTTTCCTAACCATCGTTCCTGGAGAGTTACACCAGTACTAGACTACCTTCCTCCGCGCTAAACTACCAAAGCATCTCCCGGGGATCGAACCCACTCCAGAGAGGTAACTGGATTAGAAGTCATCGACTCTAACCCCTCGACCACGGAGGCGGTCCAATATAGTCATGAAATAGGCTGTGTGAAATATGACCTTCACCACCTAATTAACTAGACTCGAGTGCATTGATATATTCCCATTCTGATCTTTTATTGAGTTAACAACAGATTTAACCACTAATCTGATATTTAGAATTAGATAGGTCAGGGATCTATGCATAATGACAATCTTCAAAATTGTATAGAAACAAAAAAAAAATCTGTTCCTACACTACTATTTAGTGTTGTATTAATGCGGTGGCATAGCATTTTTCTCAAATGCAATCTTGTTTGGCATTCTTTTTTATTAGTGACTAAGCTCTTGTCTTCTTTTACTTCCTCATTGGAAATTTGTACCATAATTGTCATGGTCATTAAACATATATATGGTTACCAATGATTATAATGATCTGAACTTGACTTTCAATAAGAAAGCATGCCAGATTGGTTCAGTGGTTTGTAAGGGTTCCGTGCCAGTTTAAAAAATTTTGGATAACATGTAAGGAAACCCCCTTGTCAAATTTGTTATTAAAATGCTCTGATTCTATTTTTATAGCATAATGTGCCAAAAACAATCACTTTACATTTAGTTTAATTTAACCTGTGCATGTCATATTGCAATCTTAACTAGGATTTACTTGTCTGATGGTTATTTTTGAGGCTCTTTGGAAGCTCAAGAACAAGGGACATCTTCAGTCCTGTTTCTTAGTCAAATTCACTTAATTGATTAAAAGGCTATTCCAATTAATGATTTTGGTCATAATATAAAAGATTCCGCTGGATTTCATCGTCTTATTTCAGTATGAGAAATCCATTCACACATGATATTCGCACAATATTTTCGTTCAGGGTAAAGTAAATCAGTGAATTTTGACATTGAAAATGCCTTGTTTATGTTTCAGAGGTAAAGTAACACGGGTATCACAAGAGCGAACAAAAGAGACCAGCAGTGCCATTGGCGAAATGTCGATAAACAACGGGGACGATCCGGTGCAAGCTTCCAGCGATAGTTTTTGGGAAGTGGGAAAATACGTGAGAACTGTCAACAGAATTGATAATGGATACAAACTTTGTAGTAGTTTAAAACAGTTAATTACCTCAAGAGCTGATATAGAACGAGGATATGCCAAACAGTTAAGCCAGTGGTCGAAAAAATGGAATGATTTCCTAGACAAAGGTATGTTCTGAACTTTAAAGGGATTCCACTAAGGTTTTTTGACAATGAAGAGACTGGTTACTATTTTCCGAGATTTCTGTTCCATTTTATGTAAATCTTGACTATAATAACTTTTTGTGCAAAATTTCAGAACATTCACTCACTCTCTTTTTCCTGAACAAATATTCTAATGTAAGATGACCCAAATTTAAAAGCGTGGCAATGCTTTTCACTCAAATTGGTCTATAAATGGCACAAACATACGATTTTCAATTTATTTCTGAGTATATTTCTTAATTTTTTTTGCATATATTTCTATTTTAAATACCCCACGTAATCAGTGTGAAAAATTCAAATGTCATATTTTTATGTTTTGGACCTCAGTGGAGTTCCTTTAACTGTGTTTCTTGAAAAATTTGTACAGTAAGATAGATATGTAGCTTGACATAAAAATATAAAAAAGTAACTGTGGTAAGTATTACAGTATTAGCTGCTGCAGGGCATTTTTACAGGTAGGGGAAGGGGCCATTCTTTAAAATGTAAATTTAAAGTTTAGGGAAAACCAGATTATTTTAAAGGGTTTTCCTTTTTCCTGTGCTGGTTAAAAAAACTAACAAGTAACTAAATATTGAAGTGAACTTAAATGTGTCAAATACTTGGTTAGTTTCTTTTCTACACTATTTTAATTAAAATGACTGAGGTGGCCAAGAATGTTTTTTTTTATCATAACAAAGTCTTTGTCTAGACCAATAAGGTATATGTTTATATTTTAACAGATTACATAAAGAAATTGTCTTTTCAAAGAAATAAGGTGGAGGTATTGACTGAGAATAGTGCTACTGACATCTGTTGTTCAGACATATGGCTGTTTTCTACTTTTCTTTATCATATTATCAAGAACTGAGAAAAGTGAAGTTTGCTGCTCCTCAGACATATCTTGTCTGTTGCTAGTGATCATCAAGATGCTTTTGGCTGGTGATCATCAAAATTGTTGTTGATCTTGATTACTAGAAAGCTTTCTTTTGTTCCTGATCATATCAGAGCTTGAATTTTCTTTATAAGGATTTTTGTTATGTTCTCACCTTATGATAGATGGTAAACATTTAACTTTCACACCATAGGTCCTGAGTATGGTACAACACAAGGAGCCTGGCGAGGGGTATTAGAGGAGTCAGACAAACTTGCCGATCTACATACAGAAGTTGCGGACAAACTTGTGAATAATGTTACAGTATCAATCAAACAATGGCAGAAAGAAAACTATCACAAATCCATGATGCACTTTAAGGAAACTAAAGAGTTAGATGATCAGTTTAAAAAGGTATGCAATTTTATGTTACAAATAGATTTTTTCATGTAAAGAGATCAATAAAGCTAATTGTTTGAGATATTTTTTATAATTTCTATGACACATTATGATGATGAGTTAAAAATATATCACAATACATGCATAAAAGGGACCTTATCGTGGAGACCTTATCAGCCAGTGGTTAAAGTCTCAAAGTCGTTTACTTCAAACAATCATAATTTCCACACCAGTGTGGGTTAAAATTTTTGCCCGGAATGTTAAATTCTTTACGGTATTATTGCAGTCTAAGCTGGATTTTGATTTAGGTTGGTGGTTCTTGTAAGTGTTATTTTTACCTGAAGTTTCCACTAACCATGAGGCTTAGAAGTTGCCAAATGAACATAAAAATTTAAGCGTCTCTAGATAGCAAACAATGACAATTGAATAATCTTGTTTAATTGAAATATTTTTCATAACTTCTATGAATGTGAAGGGCATAATTTATGTTATATGAATTTTTGGCAATATAGGTCCAGAAACCCTGGGAGAAGAAATTGAACAAAGTGTTAACAGCGAAGAAAGATTACCATGCAGCATGTAGAAATGAGAAAAGTACAGCAAACCAGGAAAACAATGCGCGTGCAGACACTGCCATGTCCTCAGATCAGGTATAACTAAATTCTGTTATTCAGCATCCAGTTATAAGCTTAAACTGATTACTTCCTGAAAATACAATTTCATTAAAAAGAAATGAAAGGTAACTGGTGCTATACATCTAATGTTGGAAAATAGATGCTTGCAATATTAGTATAACTTTATTGGATTATGCACTTGGTGTTAAAATGTGAAAGTTAAAATGCAGGTGCCTGTTATCAGTAGTCTGTTTCAAAGAAAAAGTCAAGCTTTTATGATTGCTATATGTGTTGTAGTAGTGCAAAATCTTATCTTAACAAGGTGCAGTTGTTAGACAAGGGGCATGATTCTAAAAGATTTCTTGGGGGAGTTGTGTCCCTTTTTAACTAAGAATTGTTAACAAACAAGCATTTACACCACATGCGGTACTTTTAGGTTTTTTTAACTCATGAAAGAATGTAATAAAAATGCAATAGTATGAAACTGGACATTTTTGTATTTAAGGCTTGTGGATGAAATATTTATTATTTTTTAGAATAGTTTGTTTTAAAAAGAAGAAAATAGTTTTGTATGAATTGCAAGATGCAAGTCTGTTTAGTCCATTTGACTTATCTCCTAACATACTGGATTAGGTCAGCTTTGTATTAGTAATAGCCCATTCAAAGTTATATTATTTAAAGTATTTCAGTATCAGAATATAAAAATTGAGTTATCCACAGTATAGAGCCAGGTCAAAATACACTTATGTGCTAGCTGACCAGGCTGTATACTGGTGGAAGTGCAAATCTGTTTCGGTTACTGCAGGATAAGAAATGTAAGGAAGATTACATGCATTATATTGTGGTAATAAAAAGCTCTTAATCTTATATCATATAATTCCCATTCCATTTGTTTTATGAGTCTGTGACATTTACTTTATTGTAACTTTTTCTATTTTACTTTTAATTAATCACATGGGCAAAAGAATATAATTTAAACATTTTGTTCTGCAGTATTTTCTCGCATTCATGACAGATTTTGGTCTGTTTCCTCTTGTTTTGCTTATAATATATAACTGTGATTTTGAAGCCAAAAATTAAGTCTCTTGGTTCAGCTATGTTAATAACATGTGCCTTTTAAGACTTAAAATCAAGTACAAAAAGAAGTTCTTTTTTCCATTCTTTATTAGGTCAACTATTCAAAGAAGAGGGAGAGCTATTGTACTCACCCAGGCTTTTGCGTCACACTTTGGTTAAGCTTTTGCATGCAAGTTGGTATTTCAAAAATTACTGAAGGAAATAAGTTAAACTTCACACACTTATTTGAAATCATAATAAGAGATCACTGTCCAAGATCCCTCTAACATGAATTGGAAGCTCCTGTTTGATGTCAGAATTTAAAAATGACACAAAAAACACTCATTTTTGTATTCATTAGAATAGTGCAATGTAACTTTCCTTGCTATGAACTTCATAAATTATGCCTGTATTACAGTAACTGTTAAGATCATTTCAGTACTTATTTTGGCGTTATATTGGTCAGTATTGTTCCAATCTATTTAATTATTTTTGTATTTGTAACACACAACATGTAAAGAAAGGAGACACTGTGTGTTAAGGTAGTACAATTACGCAACAATTTTACTTACCATACATAACAATAATTTTCCCTCTCTGTAATGACTTAACAGATTGATTTTGTATTACATCTTTATCACATTTATGAAATCATCTAATTAATGGAAATCAATTAGTTTTAACTCGTTTCCTGTAACGGCTCAGAAGATCTGAATGAGAGAAGAAAAAATATATATTGAAATTTTCTGCCAGGGAATTTAATAGAACGTGAAGAGAAAATGAGAGGTTCCCTGGAATGGAGATAATTGTTGCTGCAGAAGAATTTGACATAATTATAACAGCAAAAACAGTCGAATTTTAGGGTGTAAATTTCAATCTAATGGTGATTTTATCTCCAGTTTTTACAGTTAATTGAAGCAATGATCCCATTAGCAGAGAAATGAAAACATGTTGTGAGTAATTTAAAATGGTTTTAAAATTGACATTTTAAAGTAAATTGGCTTTTTTTAACCGTAATTCGGTATTGAATTGTTAAGGGGGAAAAATGTACTTTTGCAATTTTCACTCTTTCTATTGAGAGAAATAAAAGGAAGCCAAGTAATATAATCTGCCTTTATAAGGACAATAAACATTTTACAAATTTGGACAGTAAAGTAAAGTAGGTGGAGACATACCAGAGTGGTTAACTCGTCAGATCTCTTGATCGCTAGCCGCATGGGTTCAAACCCTGTCAGGGGCAAGTCGTTGTTCCCTTGAGCAAGAACTTTACACTCATTGGTCAGTACTGGTTGGTTCCAGAAACCAATTCGAAAGTGTTTCTATAAGCTTATAGCTTCCTACACAATTGAACTAAAATAAATTTTGCTTAAACCAAAGTAAAGAATATTGATTTTAGAATCTTTCAATTTGTGACATGCACCCACATCATCACATGATGATAAGAACTGATGCTTATGCAATACGGGTCAAAAGTTCATGATTTTCTTATATACTACTTTCATTGTAATATGTTAAACCATCTAGACAGTCATTGCTAGACCTTTGCCAGTAATTTTTCACCTTTTTTAACAGAGGCTTATAATAGGCCTTTTCTTAATGGAAATTTTCTATAAAAATCTTGCAGTTTTCCCAAAAGTCTGAATTTTTCTTCTCAAATCAGCAATTTTAGCCATGATTCCTCCCAAAATCAAGAGACTCGGACCTCTTCCCAATGTTGTGAGAAAATGATCTGTCCCAAATTTAAAGCAGGGAAAAGTTATTTCACAATTTTATGGGTATAAATATTAAATGGAGCAGCAGCCAGTAGTATAGACAAGAACAGATTTGCAGGCTGGTCAAGTTTTACACTGATACTCTGTCATGCCATATTATGAATGCATGCTATGCATCTTTTAAATCCATGATAGCTATAGATTCTACATTGTGCCTTAATTTGCTGGTCTTTTGTAGACTAACTAGTTTATCAAACTTGAAAGGAACATAAACAAGAAATGTGTCGTTATTGTTGCCATAGCATACCAGTATGAATGATTACATTGGCAATTAGACATTTTCTTGAAGGAAAATAGAGAATTACTAAGGGAATACTGACAAGTGTTGCTGGACAATCTGGTACTGATTACACTAGAATTCTCAAGAATAATTGACAATATTGCTGTCTTTATTGTCTTTTCCATCAAGCTTAATTGTCAAGTGCGCCAAAAACAACTTCTTTACCAAATATCAAAGTTCATATAACAGGATAATAACTTCTGGTAAATGTTATCATTTTGCAATGCTTTTTATTGATAAACATTAATTCAGGAGAAGAGTAAATATTTTGGTGATAAACTTTGTGTTTGACAATAAATTGGTGATAATAAATTGGTGATAAAATGTTTCTTATTTGTGACTATTTTTCTATAACAAATGCTGTTACATGTATTTGAGCCATAGCTTTATGAGCAAAGTTTGTGATGGTGATAAACATATTGTTATATTTTTTATAAGTTATCTATTAGGTGATAAATATATTCTTAGGTGAGCACAAGGTGATAAACATATTCTTATGTTATGCACATAATTCTGTTCTAAGGTTAATAGTTATTTGTATTACATAAATTTTTGATGCATTTTAAGGGAAATGAATGATTAAGATATATCATAAATAGATGATAAACATATTCTAATGAAAAATAAGGTGGTAAACATAATGTTTGAGGTGGCAATTAACGTCCTTTCACATGTATAATGTTATCACATTTAGTGTAAATATAACTAAAAGTGTAAGTTTACATTTGGTGTAAATGTAACTAAATTAAAGCATTAGTTTACATTTAGTGTAAATGTAACTAAATGAAAGCATAAGTTTACATTTAGTGTAAATAATAACTGAAATAATGTGGATTAAAGTTCATGAAACGTGTTAAATAGGAAATGTTAGATTTGAGTTTATATTTTAGTCTCATGTCAATCATATGTGGATAATTGTAAGCAATTATGGGTAAGTAGTTAGGTCAACATTGCTCTTAGCTTTTAGTGTTATAGTCAACCAAACTAGGTTTGTTTAATCTTGTTTAAATTTAATTTAAAATTATTATTCAAATCATTTATTAAGAACTTCCCTGAACTTCACTGTAAACCAAACACTTTCAGTGCATGCTTATAAGTGGAGGCATAGCAAATTTGTTGACTCCTCATATAAATTTTCTAAGGGTTGCTAGCCTGGTAGGTTCAAACCCCGTCAGGGGCAAGCCATTAAGCAAGAAACATTAAATTCATTGTCCAGTAATGGATGGTTGTTTTGAAAACCAGATTTGAGAGAGTGTCTATAAGCTTATAGCTTCCTTCAAAATTCCTTGCTATCTAATTATTGAATACCTCTGCAAAGTGGAAACAAGACGTATAACTGATTTTTATTTTTTATTTTTTAATTCGGAAAACAGGCACCCGGGATCACCAGGGGAAAGGGTTTAAAGTAGAAAAAAGGGTTTTTTTTAATTTTACAAATTTTCCAAAAAATAGGGTTGGGTTCAGTTTTTAGCATTTTTTGTAATGTTTTGTTAAAATGTATATATTCAACCAATGTAGACCACAAAAAAATAAAGCATTGTTTTATATTTTGTTTTTCTCACATGAAACTGTCAAACCTGTTCCAGGGGGTAGATCTAGTCAAATTTACACAGACTTATCACTCTTAAAAATCTTATTTAGCATTAATGAAGATTTGTTTATTGATATTAAGTGAGTTTTGTAAAATGATAAACAATATGAGAAAAATTATCATAACAGCACTGGCATGGACACTGAATTGTACTTTACAAACAGGTTTGACTGTATTTAGGTAAAAATTTAATATTTACCCAGCTAAATTTGTGTAATGGACTGGCTCAGCTTGAATTTGCAACTGTCCATCGCTATGTTTGAAGGATTTCTTTATGTAGCCAGCAGTCTAGAGCCTTGTCGGACATCACGAAATGTGCAGGTTGACATTGCTCTTT